CCAGGGGGGCGCGCATCCCCGCAGGGCGCAGGGAGCTTTCCAGGGGAGCTGAGCCCAGGTGAGCTTGGCTACGCCAAGTGGGGCCGCCCCTTGCGCACTGTCTCGTGGGAACGGGGCGGCCAGTTGGTTCCCCCATGCGCGGATTTCTTGCTGCTCCCAGGCGGGAGAGAGAGAGAGAGAGAGAGAGAGAGAGAGAGAGAGAACAGGAAGGGAAATTCCCCAGGTGAGTGTAAACAGGAAGTTGTGCAATGAGGTTACCTGAGCCCTTAGGTCAGCTGGCTAAGTTTAACGCGCGCCTGCACCGAAGCGAGCAGTTTATTACTGGGAAGCTGCTGGTTGGCTGGTCGGTCGGTTTTCTGGAATCCAAGAGCCTCACCTGGGACAGGTAAAATGTCAGCCCTTGGAGGACTCTCTTTCTCTCTCTCTGGTTGATCATTTTCGAGAACGAGGTATAATCTGGGGAGGGGAAGGAGACCGGAAGGGCAGCTGTCCCAAGAGGCACGAAGCCAGATGGTTCTTTTGAGTAGCGCAAGGCTCCTGCTTCCTCAGTCCACGCCCCCACCCCACCCCCCAAAAAAAATACATCTCTCGCAGGGCTTCAGCTGCGGCGCGGCAGGCAGAAATTCAACAGATATAGCGCAGGCGCTTTCTTTAGTGGTGGAGTGCGCTCCGCCGGTAGGAGGTCGTTCCCAGGGTCGATATTCATCGCCTCCAGTGAACAGGCTGGGAAAGATCTCTCTGGCCAAGAGACCCTGGTCAGAAGGAGAGACCAAGCAAGGAACTGGCTACGTATCGTTTAGGACAGCTGTAGACTTTTAGCCTTATTTTGTTCTGTTTTAATTGCTTTCATTTTCCAAAGCAAAGGCACGCAACTTGGTTTACTTAGGGACAACAGCCGGATATGTATGGTGGACTGGGGAAGCCTCAAAGGTGGATATTGGAAGAAAGGAAGAGACATTTCCCAGGGTTATTTCCCACCAGGCGAGGTTGTGTGTTGTCGCACCAGAGTGTGTCCTTTTTGACCTGCAAAGGAGCCTCTCTCTGTCACCACCTCTGAGTCGATATAATTGGTGAAATAGCACCGTCTTCCCTTTGGTACTGGATCTAAAAATTCTGCTTTACTGATGATTGAAACCCTGAAGACATTATTACTAGTGCATGTTGTGTAGAGGCACACAATGATGTGGTATTTGAATGTGTGAGCTGAGTTTTATTTATTGTGTATAAAAATATTCATATACCTCTGATTTTTTTATTTTTAAATCACAGCGGTTTACTGCAATAAAACCTATAAAAAAGTTAAAAAAACGGACTTTCCCCGGTAAATAAGGAAATATATTCTGCAGTGGCGCAAATTTGCAGTGTTCATTAGCTAGGGGGGTGCTGGCCAACAGATCCCAAAATGGGGGCTTGTTTCCTTTCTTTGTCCAAAGAATATGAGAGGCTCGTCAGGTTTTGCTTATTAATTGAGCATTACTGATTCCAGGAGTGTGTTGTTTCCTCTTTCACACCATAGATCTTGTAGGTTTCTAAAAGAGGAACCTCCTGAGGGAGGGAACATTTGCTCCTTTGCTCGTTTTGGCCGTGTAACTTGGCTCACTGTTTAAAGTTACCTACGTTGCTTTATAAAGGTGGTGGTGGTTGTTGTTTTAACACAAGCCAGCAGTTCTGGCATGAAGCACCTCAGAGGTGCTTTTCTTGAGCCACACTGTAATTAGGATAAGCCGGGCAGATGTGCGACAGAGGAATAATTGCTGAGCAACACTGTTATTATCAAATCCATATAAGAGCATAAGACAACACTGCTGGATCAGGGTAATGGCCTATCTACTCCAGCATCCCAATCTCACCGGCCGTCACTGGCTCCTGTGGCAAGGAGTTCCATAGTTGAACTGGATGCGGTGTGATGACACCAAAGCTGCAAGCGTAAACTTACAGGGTGTAGGCCCATTGAGAACAGTGGGGACGACTTCCGAGTAAGCATGCATGGAATTGCACTGCCGGCGGGTGGCTTGTGGAGTTGGAGCAGCAGCAGTGGGGAGTCTGCAAAGGGATTTTCTCAAAGGCGGTAACATGCAGAACACCCTGCTGGGGTGGGCTTGATCTAGGAGAGAATCATACAGTGCATATATAATAGGGAGTACAATGCGGTCAACCCACACAGGTCAACTCACACAGAGCAGACGTATGGTTGCCAGTTCGCCTGAGATGCAGTGGGCGGAGCCTGGGAACTTAGGGGTGGGGCCAACTGAGACCGGGGTGGAGCCTAATAGTGTCTCAGTGGCATAGGATGGCACCTGGTGGGTCAGGGCAGGGGCAACCCCCACGTGCATTTGATGCTGACCTTTAAAGCCCTAAACGGCCTCGGTCCAGTATACCTGAAGGAGCGTCTCCACCCCCATCGTTCTCCCCGGACACTGAGGTCCAGCTCCGAGGGCCTTCTGGCGGTTCCCTCGCTGTGAGAAGCAAAACTACAGGGAACCAGGCAGAGGGCCTTCTTGGTAGTGGCACCCGCCCTGTGGAACACCCTCCCACCAGATGTCAAAGAGAACAACAACTACCAGACTTTTAGAAGACATCTGAAGGCAGTCTTGTTTAGGGAAGCTTTTAATGTTTAATAGCTTATTGTATTTTAATATTGTGTTGGAAGCTGCCCAGAGTGGCTGGGGAAACCCAGCCAGATGGGTGGGGTATATATTATTATTATTATTATTATTATTATTATTATTATTATAAGTGCGCGTGCACACAGGCTGGGAGCCTCAATGGCGCCTTTTTTCACCCAGGGCAAAAACCCCAGCTGGCCCTCTCCTGTAGCTATGGCACCGGGTAAGGGGACAGTCTGTTTGTGCCTTGTGCTTCCGGGTGAAGCAGGATGTCTTGGAGAAAGTGGACAGAAATGCTTTTCTCCTTCTCTCGCAACACTAGAATTCCTGGACATGCAAGGAAGCTGAAAGTTGGGAGATTCAGGGCAGTTAAAGAAAGGACTTCTTCACGCAGTGTGTAGTTAACCTGTGGAACTCCCTCCCACAGCAGGCAATGATAACCACCAGCCTAGTTGGCTGGATTGGACAAATTCATGGAGGAGAGGGCTATCAGTCATGGCTAGGCCCTGCCTGCATGATTGGAGGCAGAAATGTTTCTGGTTGCTGGTATTCCGCGGTCTTGTGTTCAAATCCCGCTTGCATGTTTCGTACAGGAATCTGGTTGGCAGCCCCTGTGCAAACAGGATGCAGTTGGTCTGATCCTGCAGGTGCTTCTTATGTTCTGACGTCTGGGGCGCGGAGAAAATAGATAAAAAGAGCTGTGAAAATAAGCTGGTGAACTGTGCTACCACCCCTGATTCTGATTTATTCCTGCATTGCAGAGGGTTGAGCTAGATGACTCGTGGGTTCCCTTCCAACTCTACAATTCTGTGATCCTTTCCTTTGAGATCTTGTTCCTTCCCCTAAAAACCCTGAGAAGGAGCCTAAGCACAAGGCAGGAAGAATTAGAGCTAATGGGTTGCATCCAGCATTACTCATACTCAGAGTAGGCTCATTGAAATTAACAGGCATGACTCACTTAGGCCCATTGTAATTAGTGAATCTAACAAAAACTGAGTTGCCTGCGCCCCGTCGTCTTTCTGTTATTTGCAGTAATTCCAGGCAGTTGGCTGACGAAATATGACCCGTTCCTCACGCATTATTTGACTGTGGTCAAACATTCTCAGATATTCCTTGAAGCCAAAACCTCCCTGATGTAATAGGTGACGACCTCTCTCTCTTTTTAGTTCCAACATTCTTCTATCTGATAGCAAAGTTGGGTGTGTGGAGGCCTCTTCCCTCCTTCCATCCTGAAACAGCCCCCAACCCGCCCCCCTGGAGCTTCCAAACTTACTTGCTATTTTCGGGTGAGATTCCGTGGCACGCAGGGAAATTCAGGTTTGCGCAATTGTGGTTGGTTTGGAGCGCTTGCACAACAAACCTGATTCCCCCAGAGGATCAGGCTTTTTTTGCAGCAAGGAAAAATGATACACTGGAAAGTGCAGGATAGCGCTGGCTTTGACACAGTGTCATCTAACCTTCCTACAAGCAAAGCAGGGTAAACGCTCAATGAATGCATTGTCAGGACTCCGGGGATCTACCGTATTTTTTGCTCTATAAGACTCACTTTTTCCCTCCTAAAAAGTAAGGGGAAATATGTGTGCGTCTTATGGAGCGAATGCAGGCTGCGCAGCTATCCCAGAAGCCAGAACAGCAAGAGGGATTGCTGTTTTCACTGCGCAGCGATCCCTCTTGCTGTTCTGGCTTCTGAGATTCAGAATATTTTTTTTCTGGTTTTCCTCCTCCAAAAACTAGGTGCGTCTTGTGGTCTGGTGCGTCTTATAGAGCGAAAAATATGGTGCTTTAATCCCTACTCCCAAGTATTTAGGGAAGGATACAAGCAGGGAAGGGACACGGGTGGTGCTGTGGTCTAAACCACTGAGCCAAGGACTTGATGATCAGAAGGTCAGTGGTTCGAATTCCCGCGATGGGGTGAGCTCCCGTTGCTCGGTCCTTGCTCCTGCCAACCTAGCAGTTCGAAAGCACCTCAAAGTGCAAGTAGATAAATAGGTACCGCTCCGGCAGGAAGGTAAACGGCATTTCCGTGCGCTGCTCCGGTTCACCAGAAGCGGCTTAGTCATGCTGGCCACCTGACCCGGAAGCTGTACGCCGGCTCCCTCGGCCAATAAAGCGAGATGAGCTCCGCAACCCCAGAGTCTGCCACGACTGGACCTTATGGTCAGGGGTCCCTTTACCTTTACCTTTACAAGCAAGGAAATGAAGGCAACAGCCTTCCCCTTTTGTTTGCCTGCAGCACCCTATTCCCAGTGGTAGACTGCTTCTGCACATGGAGTTTCCTTAATACATTAACAAGAGTTTTCGACAACTTAATAATAATTTTAAAATGCCTTTAAGCAGTCAGTATAATAAGGCTTCATAGCTAATAGGCATTGGTACACCTCTAAATTTGTTCCCCATGAATTTAATAACCGAAGCTATCGGTCCATTTGTTCGAGTCTTCTCCATCCAGAACATTGGTGCTTCTTCCCAGGACGTCCCAACTTCAAAAATTCAAACAAATGCAAGTCAAGATCAGAAAAAAGGTTTCAAACCTAGGAAATGGATGTTGAGGCAAACACTAAAAAAAAAAAATCAGTGTTACTGATTAACAGCCTTTGTTTGGAAGGCAGCAGTTTGCGATTTCCCGGCACCAAATTTGAATGATCCCTCTCTGTTTGCATGAAAAAGAACAGGAGTCAGGACGTCTCTCGGACAGTCAGATAATGAGGCCCAGCACAGAGTAGTCAAACACAATGAAGGCCAAAGGACCTCCATTCAGCAGTCGGATGTTGTGGTAGCTTGGGACTCTGTTTTCTGGGCAAATGGTCTTCCTTGGAGTATCTTCATGCCTGGCACCTAGGGTGGGCACCTTTGCCAACCTGGTGCCCTCCAGATGGTTTGGACTGCAACTCCCATGAGCCCAAACCAGGACTGGGTATTGTAGTCCAAAACATCTAGAGGGCACCAGGTTGGCAAAGGGGCCCGTCCTGGGTGCAAGGACCGGTCTTTAGAACACACCGTTTGGCAGAATCCCCACTGCGCCAACGAGAACTAGGAATTTAATCCTTGATTCAGCACAGGGACCACATTTGCACTGACGTCTATTTTGCAAACCCCGCGTCTATATTTAAACGGTGCGTGCTGTTTTTAATCATCTTATAATTTCAGGATTTATTTAGCACCTTGGCTCACCCTATTTGAAGACACGGTGTTTGCAAAATCAGGAAAAGACGTGGGAGGCACGGAAACGCAAGCTGCACCCAAAGGCGCTGAGGGTGCGGAAAGTTTAGAGGTGTCTCTGGAATGGCTCATCAGAAACTTCTCTGCCTCCGCCGTTGATTAGATCTTCCCGCCCAGCTCCTGTCGCTCTGCTCTGAGCCTCTGCAAACACACTGCAAGAGACGCGCCTTGAAGGCAGGGGGGAGTTGGGGAGAAGATGGGAAGCCTCTAGCGATGATCATGAGGGCCAGTCACTTGAATAATAATAATAATAATAATAATAATAATAATAATAATTTATTATTTATACCCCGCCCATCTGGCTGAGTTTCCCCAGCCGCTCTGGGCGGCTTCCAATCGAGTGTTAAAAACAATACAGCATTAAATATTAAAAACTTCCCTAAACAGGGCTGCCTTCAGATGTCTCTTAAAGATAAGATAGCTGCTTATTTCCTTCACATCTGAAGGGAGGGCGTTCCACAGGGCGGGCACCACTACTGAGAAGGCCCTCTGTCTGGGTCCCTGTAACCTCACTTCTCACAATGAGGGAACTGCCAGAAGGCCCTTGGAGATGGACCTCAGTGTTTGGGCTGGATGATGGAGGTGGAGACGCTCCTTCAGGTATACAGGACCAAGGCCGTTTAGGGCTTTCAAGGTCAGCACCAGAACTTTGAATTGTGCTTGGAAACGTACTGGGAGCCAATGCAGATCTCTCAGGACCGGTGTTATGTGGTCCCGGCGGCCACCCCAGTCACCAGTCTAGCTGCCGCATTCTGGATTAATTGCAGTTTCCAGGTCACCTTCAAAGGTAGCCCCACGTAGAGCGCATTGCAGTAGTCCAAGCGGGAGATAACCAGAGCATGCACCACTCTGGCAAGACAGTCCACGGGCAGGTAGGGTCTCATCCTGCATACCAGGTGGAGCTGGTAGACAACCGCCTACAGAATTGACCTGCACCTCCATGGACAGCTGTGAGTCCAAAATGACTCCCACGCTGCGCACCTGGTCCTTCAAGGGCACAGTTACCCAATTCAGGACCAGGGAGTCCTCCACACCAGCCCGCACCCTGTCCCCCCAAAACAGTACTTCTGTCTTGTCAGGATTCAACCCCAATCTGTTAGCCGCCATCCACCCTCCAACCGCCTCCAGGCACTCACACAGGACCTTCACCGCCTTCACTGGTTCTGACTTAAGAGAGAGGTGGAGCTGGGTGTCATCTGTGTACTGATGAACACCCAACCCAAACCCCCTGATGATGACCAAGAAATGGATAGAAATATTGAGTTGGAAGGGGTTGTCTCATCCAATCCCTGCAATGCAGGAATCTCAGCTAAAGCATCCATGACAGACGGCCATCCAATCTCTGCTTAAAAACCTCCATGGAAGGAGAGCCCTTCACCTTCCAAGGAAGACTGTTCCTCTGTTGAGCATCTCTTGCTGCCGCCTGAGGCAACTGCCTCGCTTTGTCTCACGAGCGGGCAGGCCATGCTTGTAGAACTTGGCAGGGACAAGGATGGGGGCAAAACTACTTCCTTGGCTCCGCCTCTCATTGGCTGTGGCTCCACCCACTTTTGGACTCCCTGCCTTCCTCTACTCCACTCCCAAAGGGCACCCGCCCCTTCTGTCTCCAGCTGAAATGAATATTCAGATGTCTCCACCGTATCCAGCCCTCAGACTGGAAGCGCCTTGGGGCAGATACTGCTTTTTCTGTCTCCTTTTTAAAAAAATCCTGCCTATGTTGCTCCAAAAAGTGCCATGTAGACGTAGTAATAATGCATTCCATTAATGGGGGGGGAAATTCACCACGCCTTTCTCCTTCGCCTGCACAGAGAGCCTGCACAGAGAGCCAGTGTGGTGTAGTGGTTAAGAGCGGTGGGGTCGTAATCTGGTGAACCGGGTTCGATTCCCCGCTCCTCCACATGCATCTGCTGGGTGACCTTGGGCTAGTCACACTTCTCTGAAGTCTCTCAGCCCCACTCACCTCACAGAGTGCTTGTTGTGGGGGAGGAAGGAAAAGGAGATTGTTAGCCGCTTTGAGACTCCTGAAGGGGAGTAATAAAGCGGGATATCAAATCCAAACTCCTCTTCTTCTTCACAACCCGGGAAGGTTTAGTACCTCAGCGACGAACACCCCACAACCAATCTCTTTGTGTCCTCTGCCCAGAATAGCCTCCACCTCAAGGCCTCTCAACCAGTTAAACTTGTTATCAGGGGAGCCCAGGAAGAGCTCAGGCCATGGGTGGGAAGAACAAACGTGCTCAAGAAAGTGATAATTAACTTGCACAAGTCCTGCCTGGGACTGAAGGGAGCCAGGCTATTTCACTAGTGTTTCTCAACAGAAATATTTCAACCATGAGGAATAGGTACTTGGGTTTTTTATGATGGAAGAGTATGGGGGATATCAATATTGTGGAGGGAAGCACGATAACGCCACACATGTGGGGTCTCTTTGTGAATGAACCCCCCCTCCCTGATTCTTTTCTCCACACATTCAAGTCCAACCCACTGTGATTTAGGAAACACAGCTTTAAAATTCCTGACAGATGGTCATCTGACTTCTGTGCTTTTATTTAAAAAAAATAAATGGCAAAAACCCCAACAAACATCACATTTCCAAAATAGGAGCTGTAAAACACCAACACTGGAATTTCCATACCCAATAAATGATTTGGTGATTAGCTCTTATGGTCAGAAGGCTTTTCAGTTCCCAGATTGAAACAGAGCTGATTAATTTCATCGGCATTTTTTAATCTGCATAACAAAAGTTTGTTTGGTTTGAAATTCCTCCTGTCTGGTTTTTTGGGTGGAGACTAGGAGTTGCTGTTTTGCTTTTGAACTGTTTTGGTTTCAGAAAAGCAGAAAGGCAATAATGTGTGTCACTCGTAAGCCTCGCCATCCCCACTTCTGCAGCAAGAGAGAGGACTCAGCAGCCTCAGGAAAACACCAGTATTTGAAGAAGAAATAAAGGAAGAAAGGAAAGATAGAGAGATCCTGCTAAAAGGGATGTGTGTGCATTTTCAGGTGTGATACAATCACATACTGACAAACTCAGGTTGCATAATTAAGAGTTGATTTCGTGCCTTTGCTCAACAAATCCGTTTCTGCCCTTAAGAAAAGTGAAAAGGAAATACAAAGTTTGGGATAAGGCTTGCTTGATGCCCTGTCCTATAACCTCCCTGCAAACAAATAAGAACAGATGTTCCCCCCAAAAAACCTGTGTCTAACCTCCCCAAAACTTTGTGCAAACACATAAGCGAGCAGACTTTGCCAAATGGGTCTCATTGTTGGGAAGGCAGGGGAGGTGGAAAACCAGGAGGGTGGAAGTATGGAATGGAGCTTCCTGATGTGGCTGGCTGGAACCCTGATCAGGAGCACTTTGCAGAGGCAGTTTCAGGGTAGCTTGATCGGTTTGACCTCAAGGAGGGCCACACTGCCGGGGGCACCCCAACCATGCTGTGGAATGGACTGCAAAAGGCGGGAGGTGCCACATTTTCGTGTCCCACAGAGCGCTGCTGGAATTGGAGAGCCCAAAGTCCACCGCTGCAAAACTTTACTGCAGGTCCCACTTTCGTCATTTGTCCCATGACATGATATCCTGTCCTTCTTTCCAAAGGAGCCTAGAGCAGCCTCCTAGGGTATAGGATGGGTTTAATTTCTGTTTTCATAATAGATGTTTTGCTGTTCACCTCGAGCCTCTGGGACAGGGTGGGACATGTGCTTGAGTAAATGAACAGGAAGCAGAAGCTGTGCTTTTCAAGCTTGGACTATTTCAATGCACTCTACGTGGGGCTACCTTTGAAGGTGACCCGGAAACTGCAATTAATCCAGAATGCAGCAGCTAGGGAAGCTTTTAATGTTTAATAGGTTATTGTATTTTAGTGTTTTGTTGGAAGCCGCCCAGAGTGGCTGGGGAAACTCAGCCAGATGGGCAGGGTATAAATAAATTATTATTATTATTATTATTATTATTATTATTATTATTATTATTTATTTCTTGTCTTGACTTCTCCAGTACTTTGCCGGTTGCTCAATCTTTTCCTGAACAGCCTGTGCTTGGCTCTGAGCTGCTGTGGTTTCCCTTTTCTCACCACTTTTGGGACTTCCTCTTCCATATTTGGTTCGCCAGGCGCCGTGCAGGTTAGGCTCTTGAGACATCCCAGGACATGCCTAAACCCCAGAGGTGGCGTGGCTCCTTCTCAGGAACTCTGGCAAGCTGTCATTGGGATGTGATGAAGGATTTGCTGTTCTGCAGAACTCTTCGTCAGCTTCTCATTTCACCCCAACACCGATCCTGTGAGGTAGGGGTTGGTTGAGAAGTGGCGCCTCTGGCTGACCTTCATGGCTAAGCGAACATTTGAACCTGGATCTCAGCATCCAAACCCCACCACCCTAGTAGAACACAGAGGGTGCTTTGAGGTGGGTGTTTATTATGGGATCAGGACTTCTCAAACCTTCATTGCTTTTAGCAATGTCTGTCCATGCAATATACCGTATTTTTTGCTCTATACGACTCACTTTTTCCCTCCTAAAAAGTAAGGGGAAATGTGTGTGCGTCTTATGGAGCGAATGCAGGCTGTGCAGCTATCCCAGAAGCCAGAACAACAAGAGGGATCGCTGCTTTCGCTGCACAGCGATCCCTCTTGTTGTTCTGGCTTCTGAGATTCAAAATATTTTTTTCCTTGTTTTCCTCCTGCAAAAACTAGGTGCGTCTTATGGTCTGGTGCGTCTTATAGAGCAAAAAATATGGCACTTGTCATCAAAATGCCAAGCCATATTTAACCCCCACCCCAATTTAATTCACTTTCACCCCATCAGGAACCATCCAAAGAATCAGAACACACAGCCAGTAGCTTCATACAATAGGAAGCTTTCTGTGTTGCAATACATAGGACCCACGTACCTACGGGACCGCCTCTCCAGGTATGCCTCACGGAGGACCTTAAGGTCCACAAATGACGACACTTTGGAGGTCCCAAGTCGCAAGGTGGTTAGATTGGTCTCAACTAGGGCCAGGGCCTTTTCAGTACTGGCCCCGACTTGGTGGAAAGCTCTGTCACAAGAGACCAGGGCACTGTGGGACTTGACATCTTTCCGCAGGGCCTGCAAGACAGAGCTGTTCCACCTGGTCTTTGGCTTGGACTCAGTCTATGTTTCCCTCCCTTTATGGTTTTGATCTATGGGCTATTTTTAAAATGAAGCTGCATTTTAAAATGCATTTTAACTTGTATTTTAAATTGCCCCCCCCCCCAATTACGTTTTTACTGTGAGTTTATTGGTGTTAGCCATCCTGAGCTCTGACTGGGGAGGGTGGGGTATAAATAAATATTATTATTATTATCATTATATCATTATCATTATCATTATCATTATTATTACATACAGGCCCATGGAAAAAGGTTCAAATTGAGAAACAAGGACACACAACTGCGTCTATCCCACATGTGGTTTTGGGCCTAGAGTAAACCTTCCTGGGAATAGCAGTTTTTCCTCTTCTGTTTCAAGTTGCTAGTCCTGGGTGTGGAAATAGAAAGACCATGCCTAGTGAGCTGTCAGAAACCACAGGCTGGCTAAGCCTGACTAAAACCTCCCCCAGCAGCCAGGTGTGACCAGTTTATAATGGATTATTATGAGAATGATTGAAACTGGAAAAGTCCCTTGTCTGGAAACCATGGAGACCTGCTACCAGTCAGTGCAGACAGTATTGATCTAGGTGGGCCTGACTCAGCATAAGTCAGATACATCTGCTTTGCATGCAGAAGGTCTCGGGTTCAACCCGCAATGGCCGCTCCAGATTAGGGCTGGTCTTGTCCCCTGCCTGAAACCCTAGAGAGCCAATGCCGGTCAGACAATACTGAGCTTGGTGGTCTGTTGGTCTGACTTAGTATAAGGCAGCTTCCCGGAGGTCAGACTCATTCATCCCAGACCATATAACACCAGTCTTGAAAGACCTACATTGGCTCCCAGTATGTTTCCAAGCACAATTCAAAGTGTTGGTGCTGACCTTGAAAGCCCTAAACGGCCTCAGTCCTGTATACCTGAAGGAGCGTCTCCACCCCCATCATTCTGCCCGGACGCTGAGGTCCAGCGCCGAGGGCCTTCTGGCTGCAAGAAGTGAGGTTACAGGGAACCAGGCAGAGGGCCTTCTCAGTACAGTGGTACCTCGGGTTACATACGCTTCAGGTTACATACGCTTCAGGTTACACACTCCGCTAACCCAGAAATATTGCTTCAGGTTAAGAACTTTGCTTCAGGATGAGAACAGAAATTGTGCTCCGGCGGTGCGGCAGCAGCAGGAGGCCCCATTAGCTAAAGAGGTGCTTCAGGTTAAGAACAGTTTCAGGTTAAGTACGAACCTCCGGAACGAATTAAGTACTTAACCTGAGGTACCACTGTAGTGGCACCCGCCCTGTGGAACGCCCTCCCACCAGATGTCAAAGAGAAGAACAGCTACCAGACATTTAGAAGACTTCTGAAGGCAGCCCTGTTTAGGGGAGCTTTTAATGCTTGATGTATTACTGTATTTTAATATTTGGTTGGAAGCTGCCCAGTGGCTGGGGAAACTGGGTATAAGAAATAAATTATTATTATTATTATTAAACAGATGGTTGTGTGAATTGCTGGTGGCATGGCATGACCTTGCAAATGCCTCTGTTGTCAGTTTGATGGTTGAGTCCTGAGGAGTCTGGCCTGCCGACATGTTTCTTCCCAAACCCCAGCCTCCCACGTTGCAAACACCCTTGTGATGACACGTAGACATTCTTCTCCTGTTGCAATCTTAGACTATATCCCAGGCTTGCAGGAGAGGTATATTTAACCACTTACTAAACTGCAGGGTTTGGGGTGTTGTTGTTTTTTTTTGCAATATTGTAATTAATTGATGGGTTCCAGGGAAATCCTTGCTTTTGGACTCAAGGAACACCTTTGCTCCACCACGCTTTCCAAGCAACTTGCAAGCAGCAGGTTGGGATGGGACTATACCGCAGGGGTGTTGCCAGATACTTAAAAGATTTGGGCAATAGGCACAGATTTGCATATAGTTTGCAAGTGTAAACCTCTGGGTATAGTTGCAGGTTTTCAGTCCAATCCCAGTTATATCTACTCAGAAGTAAGTCCTGTTGAATTCAGTGGGACTTGCTCCCAGGTGGTTGAGGTTAGGATCACATATCTTTAAATGAATCATGGAAAGCCTGCTAATTCCCCATCCAGATCTCCCAGGGAAAATTCCTCAGTTAATTTGTGCCCCACTCCAGATTGCCCCAAATCCGTTCCCCTTCAGCATATACACCCCAGTGAATTTCCCTAGGAGCTCCTCTTTGAAGTAAATTAAATTCTCCTTCAGTTTCTCCCTGTTCATTTCCCCCTAATCATCTGTAGATAAAACCAGCTAAAATTAATTTATCCCCCCCCTCCCCCAAAAAATCAATGTCTTACCCACTAACCACCCCCTGGTCATTTTCCCCTGAATTAGGTAAAGGGACCCCTGACCATTAGGTCCAGTTGCGGACGACTCTGGGGTTGCGACGCTCATCTCGCTTTACTGGCCAAGGGAGCTGGCGTACAGCCAGCAGGACTAAGCCGCTTCTGGCGAACCATAGCAACACACGGAAACGCCATTTACCTTCCCACCGGAGCGGTACCTATTTATCTACTTGCACTTTTATGTGCTTTTGAACTGCTAGGTGGGCAGGAGCAGGGACCGAGCAACGGGAGCTCACCCCTTCGTGGGGATTTGAACCGCCGACCTTCTGATCGGCAAGTCCTAGGCTCTGAATTAATTACTCCCCAAAACTCGGGTGACTTGGAAAAAGATTTGAGGCCCAATGCTCCTTAGGACCGCTCCTAGCGACACACCTGCAGGGTGGTTCTGTTCCATTGTCCAGGTGCTGATTCATAAACAATGCAGAGAACAGCACAAAGAATTGGTGTCGCCACCTCCAAGGTTATTGCAATGACGAGCCAACCCATGCTACTCAGACCTGCACACCTGAGCCATGTAGTTATTATACTTCGTGCACTACTATTATTTGATCACGTGTTTATCTCCGCTTTCCTCCAAGGCACTCCGGGGTTGGCAGGCACTCAAGGCTGGTTTCCTCAAAACAACCCTTTGAGGCGGGTTAGGCGGAGAGGAAGGGAATGATGGGCCCAAGATAAGTGATCTTTATGGCAGTGGGGTGGGGGAAACAGCCTGAGGCCAACCTTTTTAGACCCGAGTAAGGCCCCTCGGTGGTAGAGCATCCAGGCTGAATCCCCAGGGGCATTTCCAGCTGCTGCCAGTCAGTGAAGACAATACTGCCTGACTCAGTATAAAGCACGCTCTATGTTTTCCGGTCTAACAGCACCAGTGCCGGATTTACGTAGTCATACCTTGGGTTGAATATGCTTCATGTTGAGCTCGTTCGAGTTGCGCTCCGCGGCAACCCGGAAGTAACGGAGCGGGTTACTTCCGGGTTTCGCCGCTCGCGCATGCGCAGATGCTCAAAATGACATCACACACATGCGCAGAAGCGGCGAAAAGCGACATGTGCATGCGCAGACGTGCCGTCGCTAGTTACGTTTGCTTCTGGATGCGAACGGGGCTCCTGAACGGATCCCGTTCGCATCCCGAGGTACCACAGTATAAGCTAAACAAGCTACAGTCATACCTCATGTTACATTTGCTTCAGGTTGCGTGTTTTCAGGTTGCGTCCCGCGGCGACCCAGAAGTAACAGAGCAGGTTACTTCCACGTTTCACCGCTCGCGTAGACGCGCAAAATGATGTCACGCGCATGCGCAGAAGCGGTGGATCGTGACTCACGCAGACTAGCAGGTGCAGGTTGCATTCTGTTCAGGTTGCGAAAGGGCCTCCAAAACGGATCCCATTCGCAACCAGAGGCACCACTGTATAGCTTAGGGCCCCACTCTCTTGGGGGCCCCCCAAAAAAATTTAAGGGAAAAAATGGATGTATGTTTCCAAAATATAAGATAAAAAACAAATAAAATAAAACCTACATACAGCAACAGTGTTTTGTGTTGTGTGGGCTCCTCTTTGTTATGTGTAAATGGCTTTAGATACCTATTAGGTCCATAAATTACCATATAGCATATATTCAACACAAAAAACAGTGACAATTTGTTGCTGACAAAGGACAGCTGGACATAAAAAGGGCGCCATTACCTTCAGTAGCTGAGGGCATCATCAAACCTAAATCCAGCCCTGAACAGCATCATCCTAACAATGTCTATCCAGAAATAACTCCTCTTGCATTCGGTAGCAGTTGCTCCCAGCCAAACAGGATTAGGATTGCACCCCCAAATCTTCTTCAGCTGAGATGCTCTGGCTCGCAGAAGCAGCTGCTACAAACTTCAGTTCGTTTCTCCCCTCTTCTTCCTCTCTTCACCTTTTCATTTTGCTTACAGGCTGTTCTCCACTGCTCTTTTCCACAGGGGATTTGACAAATTAGTAGCTATCCATGGCTATTAGTTATAATATAGTCCCATGTGCAGGAACAATATCCGCCTGAGCTGGGCCATCCGGCTGCACCATTAGGCAGAGTGAGGCAACTGCCTTCGGTGGCAGATTTGTTTATTTCATTTCATGTTTGGAAATGTTGCAATAAAGCCTCCGGGCAGTTTGCAAAAACACACCCATTAAATTTATCAATGAAAGGCAGTTGAAAACAGGAGCAATAAAAGCACCCCAAATATTATTAAAAGCAAAAGCAAGTTAAAAAGAGACTCAAACGCATGCCACCTTTTACATGTCCGGATAGGCCCGCCTAAACAAAAATGTTTAAAGCAGGTATTGAAAATAGTAAAGGGAGGGCACCTGACTGATGCCAATAGTTCCAAAGTGGAGACGCGGCCCACTAAAAGACTGGTTTCTTGCTAGTGCTTTGATTGGTGGAACCGGCACTACGATAGTGCCACATAATGCCCATTCCACATTTGTAAGGACTCCACCATTCGGTGTGGCAGTGCCTACACTTTGTGTGTGTGTGTGTAATTTTTATTAAATTTTCTGTTTTACAATTTAGAATATTCATTTGTTGTTGTTGTTTAGTGGTTTAGTTGTGTCCGACTCTTTGTGACCCCCTGGACCAGAGCACGCCAGGCACTCCTGTTTTCCACTGCCTCCTGCAGTTTGGTCAACCTCATGCTGGTAGCTTCGAGAACACTGTCCAACCATCTTATCCTCTGTTGTCCCCTTCTCCTTGTGCCCTCCATCTTTCCCAACATCAGGGTCTTTTCCAGGGAGTCTTCTCTTCTCATGAGGTGGCCAAAGTCTTGGAGCCTCAGCTTCAGGATCTGTCCTTCCAGTAAGCACTCAGGGCTGATTTACTCAGGAATGGATAGGTCTGATCTTCTTGCAGTCCATGGGACTCTCAAGAGTCTCCTCCAGCACCAGAATTCAAAAGCATCCATTCTTTGGCAATCAGCCTTCTTTATAATTTAGACATCCTTAAAATATCAGTTACTTCCCTTCTTCTCTTTCCATGGTTCATTTTACATAGCATAAATCCTTGCATATATTACTTCCAGCAAAACTTATTCACACTGTTGAATTTATCTTAATGCTGCCAATGTTTTCAAGTATACACAATTCCGCCCCATATATTCAGTAAACATTTTCCAATCTTCTTTAAACGAATGTTCTCCTTGTTCTCTTAATCTATAAGTTAGTTCTGCAAGCTGCACATGTTCCATCAGTTTAAGTTGTCATTCTTCTTTGGTTGAGACCTCGCTCATTTTCCATTTTTGGACTAACAAAACACAGGCTGCCGTAGTGGCATACATAAATAACCTTTTTTGACACCTGGGAATTTCAGTCTGAATTATCCCCACTGTGATGGGATTATGAGCTGCTTGTGCGTAAAATCGTATTCCCTCAGAGTTTGTTCAAGTCCACAAACCTCTGTCTGTGACTGAGCCCCTCTGACATGGCTCCTCTTAGTCACTAGAAGATTCCGACAGTGGTTGCTTTCGTAATCGCTTCCAACATAAAAGCTCCTTAACGGAAACACGTCTTCTGGACTCTCTGCGTGACAGTTTCCGGCGAGGAGTGGGTGTCGCTACAGGCGGTCCGGAAACCTCACCACTGTCTTCGCTGGCAGTATCTCTGAGCCATCCCCCAGCTCCCTTTCCCTCAGTTCAGCTTGTCTCCCCTGCTGGTTTCCTCTTCCGCTGCTGAGTCTCTTCCAACCTGTCTGAGCCCTTTCACCTCCCTCAGTTCAGCTTCTCTCCCTTGCTGGTTCCCTCTTCAGCTGCTGAATCTCTTCCAACCTGTCTGAGTCCTTTCACCTCCCTTCCTTCCGATGGCAGTTCCCTGACATCCACCTCCCCTCCAGGGCCCCCTTCACCCCCTCTCGCCCCCTCCTCTACGGGCGGTGAGGAGGCAAAACCCCGGAATGAACTTCCTTCATCTTCCGATGTCTCGAACACTTCTCTCCACCTGTTGCGGTTCCTGGTCTCGAAGCACTCCTCCTCCTCCGAGTCCATCTCCCCTTCCCCTTCCGATTCTGGGAATCCTTCCAACTCCTCCTCCTCCTCAGTGGTCCCAAAGTATTCCCTCCGGAACCTCTCCACAGGCTGAGGTTTCCGCGGGAACCTTTGATGGAACATTTCTATCAATACCTCGTCATTGATATCTTTGGCCATTACCCACGTGTTTTCTGACTCCGGTTCTCCTTCCCACGCTACCAAATACTCCACCTGATTCCCCTTCCACCTGGCATCAAGGATTTCTGCCACATGACTGCTGCATTCTCTTTCTTCTATGACCGGTCCCAGAGTGTCCATCCCTTCTCGTCCCCCCTCGTACGGTGACAGTAACGACCTGTGAAATACTGGGTGCAGTTTCATGTGGTTGGGTAACCGGAGCCTGAAAGCCACTGGGTTGACCTGTTGAATGACCTCAAAGGGACCCAACCTCCTGGGTCGTAATTTCTTACAACCTCCTTTGAGCGGCAGCCCTCGGGTTGACAGCCACACCCTATCTCCAACCCTTATGGTTTCACCTTCCCTTCGGTTCTTGTCTGCCTGCCTCTTGTATTCTTCCTTCGCCCTTTCTAAGTTGAGTTGGAGCTGACGGTGGATTGCTTCCATTTCTTCTACAAAATGCTCGGCTGCCGGTTCGCTCCATCTCTCCCCTTCTCCCCCTGGGAAAGCCCTGGGATGACACCCATAATTAGCCAAGAAGGGGCTCATCCCTGTGGACACATTCTCGGCATTGTTGTAGGCAAATTCCGCCAGCGCCAACTTTTCTACCCAGTCATTCTCTCTGTCATTGACATAACACCTCAGGTATTGCTGGAGGACACCGTTTGCTCTTTCCGCCTGCCCGTTGGTTTCAGGGTGCCGGGCAGTCGAAAAGTTGACCTCCACCTGCAGTAAGCTCATGAGCTTCCTCCAGAACCTGGAAGTAAATTGTTTTCCTCGGTCTGAGACCACCCTCAATGGCACCCCGTGCAACCTAAAAATGTGTTCTACAAATAACTTCGCTGTCTCTTCCGCCGTGACTGCATGCGAGCAAGCTACAAAGTGGCACATCTTTGTTAGTAGGTCTACCACCACCATGATGGCTGTTTTCCCTTTGGACTTCGGCAGATCAGTCATAAAATCTATCGACACTGCCTCCCAAGGTCGTTCTGGTGTTGGTAAGGGTTCTAATAGCCCCGCCGGCGCCCGCCTTTCCCCTTTGGCTCGCTGGCACTGCTCGCACCCTCTTACATACTCACGTACATCCTCCCTCACCTTAGGCCACCAAAATTCCCTGGTGACCAACCACATGGTTTTGTGTTGCCCAAAATGCCCCGCCGTGGGGCTGTCATGCAACTGCTTGAGTACCCTCCCCTTAAGTCTCCTTCAGGGATATACAGTGCCCCTTTGTAATACAAAGCTCCATTTCTTTCCTCGAAACCCCTTGATTCCTCTCCCTCATCCCTAAGACCTCTGAGCTTATTCTGGGCGTATTCATCATTCTCTGTTTCTTCTACCAGTTCTCTTTGTCCCACCAATGCCGCCCCACACACCCAGCGGTCCTCTGGAATGACATGTCTCTCTTCGGGTGCTCCCTCCCCTCCCAATATTCAGGTTTGCGTGAGAGAGCGTCCGCCCTAATGTTCTCTGGGCCTGGCACGTAACAAATCTCAAAGTTAAATTTGGAGAATTCCTGGGCCCATCTCACTTGCCGTTGGTTGAGCACTCGTGCCGTCCTCCAATACTCTAGGTTCTTGTGGTCAGTGCACACTTGCACCTTATGTTGTGCGCCAATTAGCAGGTGCCTCCATCTCCGGAACGCCTCATGAATGGCTAGTAGTTCTCGGTCATACACCGTGTAGTTCCTCTCAGATTTGTTCAGCTTTCGCGAAAAAAGCACCACGGTCTCCACTCTGACTCCTCCTTCCCTGGCTGGAGAAGCACCGCCCCAACCGCTCTGTCTGATGCGTCAGTTTCCACTCTCATCGGTTTTTGTAAATCCACATGCAGGAGCTGTTGTTCCGAGGCGAAGGCCCTTTTAGTTCCTCAAATGCTTGCTCCGCCTCCTCCGTCCAAGCGAACTTCTTCTTACTGCTGAGACAGTCCGTAATGGGCGCCGTCAGGTGGGCAAAGTTTGGGATGAACTTACGATAGAAGTTCCCAAACCCTAAAAACCTCTGCACATCCTTCCTTGTTTTGGGTGTTTTCCATTCCAGTACCGCCTGGACCTTGCCGGGATCCATGGCCTACCCCTTGTCAGACAGGCGATACCCCAGGAATTCCACCTCCTTGGTATGAAACTGACACTTCTCCAGTTTCACCCACAGCTGGTTGGCTTGCAGCCTGCTCAACACTTCTCTGACGTCTCTCACATGCTGCTCCTCATTCTCAGAATACACCAACACGTCGTCTAAGAAGGCCACACAATTCTTGTAAAGCAACGGCCCCAGGACGTGGTTCATAAACGATTGAAATGTTGCGGAGCCTGCTTGTAGACCGAAGGGCATAACTAAGTATTCAAAAGACCCTAAAGGGGTGAACAAGGTGGTTTTCCATTCATCCGCCTTCCATATGCTTATCAGGTTGTACGCCCCCTTAGATCCAGCTTGGTGAAAATCTTTCCCTTTCGCACCCTTGTCAAAATGTCGTCAATCCTGGGCATCGGGAAGGCCACTGGTTCTGACACTGCATTTAAGGCCCTGAAGTCACACACCAGTCTCGGCTTGTTCGTGTTTTTGTCCACAAAAACACTGGGCTGCCCCCACCGCCCTGGACTCTCTGATGAACCCTCTCTTCAGGTTCGTGTCAATGAACTCTCTTAGCTCCTGCATCTCTCTGTCTGACATGGCGTCCAGCTTGCCCACAGGGAGCTGTGCCCCAGGGAGCAAATTGATTTGACAGTCAAAGGCTCTATGCGGTGGTAGTTGGTCAGCTTCCCTTTCGCTGAAGACGTCGCGGAGATCTGCGTATTGTCGTGGTACCTTCACGTTCTCCTTCACTTCAGTCCCTGCTAGGGTGGCTTGGGCCCCTGCCAAAACCTTTCCCTCTTTGCAATGTTCTAAGCAATGTGCTGACCCAAAAGAAACCACTCTCTGATGCCAGCCCACCAGCGGATCATGTAACGCTAGCCAGCTCATCCCCAATATAATGGGAGCTCCTCCCAAGGTGGCCACATTAAAAGCTATCAGTTCAGTGTGCCTTGCCACCTTCATTATCATTGGGACGGTCTGCAAGCTGACTTCTCCTCCCAACAGCTCCCTGCCATCGATCGTGGTTACCTGCAGGGGTTGCTTAAAGGAGCGTCTGTATCTGGTGTTCAGCTGCAAACTCTTTGCTCATGAAATTGCAGGAGCTGCCTGAGTCCAACAGCGCCTTTATCTTTAGAGGGTGTCCGTTTGGGAGCTCTAGTGTCACTTCTATCACTAGGGCGGGTTTAGGAGGTTCTGGAGTGGGCACTTTCACTGCTCTTTGGCCTGGCTGCTGTGCCCCGACAATGGCAGCCAGGCGTTGGCTTTTAGTTGCTCCGGTATTTTTCCTCTCTTCCCTCCACAGCTCCCACCATCCCTTGCCATTCCTTCCTCTGGGGGCAGACTCTGGCAAAGTGCCCTGGCTGTTGGCAGAGATAGCATTTCCGGGCGCCTTTTCCATCCTTCTTTTCCCCCTCACTGGGCTTTGAAACTGCGCGCGCGCGCGCTGTTCCGATTTCCATCGGCTCTGCCGGCGGGACAGTTGGCTCTGGAATGTCTGGAATGCGGAACTCCTTCCAACGTTCCCCTTTCCCTTCCCGCCTCTCCAATGCTCTCGCCTCCTGGCGCGCTCCTATGGCCAGCGCTGATTTGGTCAGCTGGTCCATAGACTCCGCCCTGGGCGCCCGGGAAAGTTCATCTTTCACAGCCGAAGAAAGCCCTTCTTCAAAGAGCATTTGAATGGGTTCCGCCGATAAGTCCCACCCCAATCTGTGTATCAGCATGGTGAACTCAGTCCAGTACTCACGTACAGATCGGCTCCCCTGTTTGCAAGCCATTAACTGTCTGCGCACCACTCCCTTTTCAATATCGCTGGAAAACATCAGATCCATGGCGCGAAAGAACTTCATCGTGTCTTTTAAGACGTCACTATTCGCTGCCATCAGGGGTCTAACCCAGTCTCTCGCCCCCTTTTCAAGATGCCCAATCACAAAAGCCACTCGTGATTCCTCATCAGGAAATCATCAAACTGCAGATTGAGGGCATATTGCATTTCTGTCCGAAAGCTATGATAGTCTTTGGGCTCCCCCCCAAATTTTTGCACCAATCCTGGTACCTTTCTGGCGAGCTGGGTGGCTTTCTCCCTTTGTCTGCATCTTGAGCCCTCCTCTCCTCCAGCCTCGCCGTCTGCAGCGCCAGCTGGACCTCTAACACCCGGTACCTTTCTTCCAGGCTTGGACCCGCTCCAGCCCCTGCTTCTCCGGTTCCTGCTGGGTTGCTCATTATTATGCCGTCTCCTGCACAAGCTGCGTTCAAAGACTGTCGGAATGCTGTGATGGGATTATGAGCTGCTTGTGCGTAAAATCGTATTCCCTCAGAGTTTGTTCAAGTCCACAAACCTCTGTCTGTGACTGAGCCCCTCTGACATGGCTCCTCTTAGTCACTAGAAGATTCCGACAGTGGTTGCTTTCGTAATCGCTTCCAACATAAAAGCTCCTTAACGGAAACACGTCTTCTGGACTCTCTGCGTGACAGTTTCCGGCGAGGAGTGGGTGTCGCTACAGGAGGTCCGGAAACCTCACCACTGTTTTCGCTGGAAGTATCTCTGAGCCATCCCCCAGCTCCCTTTCCCTCAGTTCAGCTTGTCTCCCCTGCTGGTTTCCTCTTCCGCTGCTGAGTCTCTTCCAACCTGTCTGAGCCCTTTCACCTCCCTCAGTTCAGCTTCTCTCCCCTTGCTGGTTCCCTCTTCAGCTGCTGAATCTCTTCCAACCTGTCTGAGTCCTTTCACCTCCCTTCCTTCCGATGGCAGTTCCCTGACACCCACCAAAAAGCTTTTTTTGGAAAGGTGCTTTTAAACATTTTTTCCAATTCATTATAAATTATTTCCCAATGCTCTTTTTACCCTTTTACAGGTCCACCACATATGAAAGAACGTACCCGCAACCTCATTTCATCTCCAGCACTTATCTGATTCAGTCTTATTCATCTTAGTAAGCCTACTCCGAGTTAAATACCATCTGTAAATCATTTCCAAGTAGTTCTCCTTCACGGGGTAGCGCCTACAAAATCCCTGCCTATTGAGAAGCAAGCGACCGCCTTCACTGTACAGTTGTACCTTGGTTCTCGAACAGAATGCGTTCCGGGAGTCCGTTCGACTCCCGGAACAGGACATTCGGCTTCTGAAAATCATTCGAAAACTGGAACACTCACTTCCGGGGTTCGATCTTTCAGGAGCCAATTTGTTTGGGAGCCAAGGCGTTTGAGATCCAAGGTACAACTGTACTCTTTTTCAGTGCCTGCTAAAAACATTCTTGTTTAGACACGCCAACCCAGATGTTGAGAAAGGGGAGGTGGTTTTAATACATTTTAGTATTTTAACTTTTGCGTATTTTAAAGCAGGGTTGCAGATTTTTCTTGATTTTATTGCTTTAGCTATTTGTAAGCAACTTTGAGGGTTTAAAAACATTTTTTTTATATAACAATCCCCCAATGTCCTGCTTGCGGTCTTCCCACAGGCCTCTGGTCGGGCCACTGTGAGAACAGGATGCTGACTCAGAATGGACCTTTGGCCTGATCCGAGGGGCTGTTCTGATGTTCTCACATTCTTCACGTGGGGTTCCCAGCGGCATGTGACTGACGGCTGTGGGAAACTGGATGTTGCAGTGGCGAATCTTCAGTCTGAGAGTATTGCTACAAACAGGCCAGTCACAAGTGCCATATTAAATGAGGGAACCTGGAATTGTTGTCTGGAAAAGTCTGGCTTAATGAATAATAATAATAATAATAATAATAATAATAATAATAATAATTTATTTATACACCGCCCATCTGGCTGGGTTTCCCCAGCCACTCTGGGCAGCTTACAATACAGCATCAGACATTAAAAACTTTCCTTCAGTTGTCTTTTAAAAGTAAAACAGTTGTTTATTGCCTTGACATCTGCTGGGAGGGCGTTCCACACGGTGGGTGCCACCACCGAGAAGGCCCTCTGCCTGGTTCCCTGTAACTTCGCATCTTGCAGTGAGGAAACCGCCAAAAACCCTCGCAAGGCATCTTGCTGAAAAATATCAGTGGGCTCCAGCCTCAATGGTTATACTTTGCCTCCATGGTCAGAGTCAGTAATGCTTCTGAAAACCAGTTGCTGGAAACAGCAGGAGGGCAGGGAGAGGAGTCTTGTGTTCGAATCTTGCTTGTGGGTTTCCAATAATACAGTAAACATTAAAAGCTTCCCTAAAGAGGACTGCCTTCAGATGTCTTCTAAATGTCTGGTAGTTATTCTTCTCTTTGACATCTGATGGGAGGGCGTTCCACAGGGCGGGTGCCACTACCGAGAAGGCCCTCTGCCTGGTTCCCTGTAACTTGGCTTCTCGCAGTGAGGGAGCCACCAGAAGGCCCTCAGAGCTGGACCTCAGTGTCCGGGCAGAATGATGGGGGTGGAGACGCTCCTTCAGATAGCTGAAAACGTCCCGCCAAAGGATCGATAACCCAAGGCCACACATTCCCTAATCTCTCATGTTCATGGATTCCTGCTGCAGGCTGTGCCCTGTTCAAAGTCCTTGACTATTCCTGTTTGTTGAATAGACAGGTGAGCCTCAAAAGTGGGTAGTGGGATATGTGTAGGTCTTGAATCCCTTCTCTTTTCTTTGGATTCTTATTGCAGGGATGACTTTCTGGTTCCCTTCCAACTCTGCAATTCTATGATCCTTCCTTCTATGGAAAGCTGAAAATTCACAGTGTGCCATCACCCCCACTCCACCGCGACAGGCGCTGTCAGAATTTCCCAAAGTGTTACTCACTGATAGAGTTGCACAGATCCTTTCCTGGACATCAGCTAAGATGCAGCTTCTGGTGGAGTGGGGGAAGAAAGCCCGTTGTTGATTTATTCTCTGAACAGGCTTTCTAAATCAGACTTAAATCAGGCTTAACAGCAGCTCAACATCCTGGCTCTCCCAGTGACTACCTAGTTCCGTAAACTCGCCCCACTGTCCGCTGTCCTACCTAAAAAGTGTTATTCAAAAGAGCTGTTGGCATGACCTACTAAAGAAGACAATAACACAATAAAATTTGGAACAGTTGCACATCAATTGCGCATTTATTCAAAAACTAAACTAAACTAAACTAATTTAGTTTAATCAATTTAACCAAATAGGAAGAGCTGTTTGACAGTGGAATGGACTTCTTCGGGAGGTGGTGGGCTCCTTCCTTAGAGGTTTTTAAGCAGACGTAATAATAATAATAATAATAATAATAATAATAATAATTCAGTCATACCTCGGGTTACAGACGCTTCAGGTTGCATTTTTTCAGGTTGCGGAACACCGGAACGGGTTACTTCCGGGTTTCGGCGGTCACGCATGCACAGAAGCGGTGAATAGCAACCCGCGCATGTGCAGACGCGGGTTGCGGACGCTGCGCGTTGCGAACGTGTATCCCGCATGGATCACATTCGCGACCAGAGCGTCCACTGTAATAATAATAATATTTGTACCCTGCCCATCTGGCTGGGTTTCCCCAGACGCTCTGGGCGGCTTCCAACAGAACACTAAAAGCACAATAAAGCTGCCTTCAGATGTCTTCTAAAAGTCTGATAGTTATTTATCTCCTTGATATCTGATGGAAGGGCGTTCCACAGGGTGGGCGCCACCACCGAGAAGGCCCTCTGCCTGGTTCCCTGTAACTTTGCTTCTCGCAGGGAGGGAACGGCCAGAAGGCCCTCGGTGCTGGACCTCAGCATCTGGGCAGAACGATGGGGGTGGAGACGCTCCTTCAGGTATACTGGGCCGAGGCCATTTAGGGCTTGAAAGATTGGGTGGCCATCTGTCATGGATATTTTAGCTGAGATTCTTACATTGCTGGGGGTTGGTCTGGATGATCCTTGGGGTCCCTTCTATGATTCTATGGTTCTCTGATGAACCTGATCCGGTGATACTAGCTTCTCAAAGTCTGAAATCATTTACACCTCCAGCACCCCATTGACCTCTTTGTACCCCTTATGTAACCCCGCCACTCACAAGGGGGTAGCGCCATCCACTTTGGAAATAGCCGGGTTTCAGACCAGGCCCGAGTTCAAATCCTCCTTAAGATATGAAGCTCACTGGGTGGTCTTTGGCCAGTCACTCCCTCCTTCGACTGGCCTACTTTACAGGGCTGTTGTGAGGATAAAAGCGGGAGAGAAGCATGCATTGAGCACGTTGGGGAAAGGGCAGGGTAGAAAGACAAGTGAATGAAAACATCACAATGGAATGGAACCTCCTGGCTCATAGGCAGTCTATCTGGATATCAATAGCTAGGGAGCAAATAACAGGGGGGAAGTTGTTCCCTCCCTGCGCTCCTTGTGCTCTCCTTGGTAGCATCTGCTCATGGCCACTGTGGGAAGCCAAACGTTGGGTCGCACGGATTCTTGGACTGATCTGAAAGTGTAGTTCTTATAGGTTTGATTGTTCCTGTAAGGGTTGTTGTTTAGTCATTTAGTCGTGTCCGACTCTTCGTGACCCCCTGGACCAGAGCACGCAAGGCACTCCTGTCTTCCACTGCCTCCCACAGTTTGGTCAGACTCATGTTCGTAGCTTCAAGAACACTGTCCCACCATCTCGTCCTCTGTCGTCCCCTTCTCCTTGTGCCCTCCATCTTTCCCAGCATCAGGGTCTTTTCCAGGGAGTCTTCTCTTCTCAGGAGGTGGCCAAAGTCTTGGAGCCTCAGCTTCACGATCTGTCCTTCCAGCGAGCACTCAGGGCTGATTTCCTTCAGAATGGAGAGGTTGGATCTTCTTGCAGTCCACGGGACTCTCAAGAGTCTCCTCCAGCACCATAATTCAAAAGCATCAATTCTTCGGCGATCAGCCTTCTTCATGGTCCAGCTCTCACTTCCATACATCACTACTGGGAAAACCATAGCTTTTACTAGATGGACCTTTGTTAGCAAGGTCCTGTTTTTCCCTGGGAAGGCACCCCAGCGACCATAGGACGTATTGCATCTCATTGTCATACAATACAACAACTTATCCTTGGGTACGTGGCGTTTTTTTAAAAAAAAATACTGTTGGGGGAAAGTGGAAGCGGTGCGACCATGAGAACTAGCACCATTCTCTTAAAAATAAAAAGCCAAATTCTTTGGGATTACGTAGAGGGTATCTGCATTGTGTTCTACAACCTCTTTTGCAGCGATGGCCAGATATCTTTTGGCCTTATGGAAGCTCCCTCTTAATTGCCTTTCGTTTTTGTTTTTTTGTCAGCTCGTGCTGGGTGGGTGGGGGGCAGATCAGCAGACACTCCCTCATATGGGGAGAGCCCCGCTCTGCCTACCAGCCATTTCCTGAGCTTTTGATGAGCCTCTCTTCCCCCTTGCCAGACATTTGAGCAACCCCTGCTGCTAATCCTTCTGGCTAATGAGGTACCCAGAGCATTTGCAAACTGTTTAAAATGCCTCTCTTGCGAGGATTAGGGGCGGGGAGAGGGAGGAGAAGGCAGAAGTCGCTTTGGGTTAAAAAAGGCTCCAGGTCTGGGCGATGCTTTTGTGTGTGCGATTCACTATCACATATGAGGGGGGGGGGCAAGCCTTTGGGACTTCCTGCCACCCTGTGAGTAGAAAATCATCTTCTCTTTCTTCTTCCTGGTCCATAATTGCCTGCAACCCTGCTCTCCCCTTTTCTCTCAAACACTGGCTTTTTTTTATGCAAAAATTGTTCTGTAATCTTATAGCATTAAACAGAGTGTGTCTTTTGGGAGGGCAGCTGTAGCTCCCAAGAATTGCCATTGATGTTGTGCATTGATTTTTTTTTCTATCATGCCACCCCAGCCACAATTCAGGATGAATATATTCATGAATATGAATACAGAAAACGACACAGATCTGTACTGTACCTGTATAGCCACGTAACAAAATCAAAATCCCGATTTGAAGGGGGGTGGGTAGCCAAGAGAGGATTGTCTAGCGCATGGGTAGGCAAACTAAGGCCCGGGGGCCGGATCCAGCCCAATCACCTTCTCAATCTGGCCCGCGGACGGTCCAGGAATCAGCGTGTTTTTACATGAGTAGAATGTGTCCTTTTATTTAAAATGCATCTCTTGGTTATTTGTGGGGCATAGGAATTCATTCATTTCCTCCCAAAAAATATAGTCCGGCCCCCCACAAGGTCTGAGGGCAGTGGACCGGCCCCCTGCTGAAAAAGTTTGCTGACCCCTGGCCTAGCATCACCCAGAAAATAGGTGGTTTTCAATTCTTCCCAGTTCCCCTCTTTGTTCTAAAGCAAGCTTCCCCAAACTGGTGCCCACCAGCTGTTTGGAACATAGGAACGCTGGGGAGCTTCCTTATAATGAATAAGACCTTTTGCCCCTGCAGCTCAGTATTGTCCACACTGGCCGGCAGCAGCCCTCCAGGACCAGGGTCTCTCCTGGACCTCCCTGGAGATGCCTGGGATTTTGGACTGCAAGGATCTGTCTGGCCACTGGAAGAACAGGTTGCTGGACTCTCGGTGGCCCTCCGGCCTGTTCCTGCAGCCGTGCTTGTCTTGTGTACTTAGCAGGGAGCGTGCCATCGCTGCGTGAGGGTCTGAGAGATGCTGCCCCACTCCCCACGTGGGGTGTTATTTATCCTGTTAATGGAGAAATCTGAGGGCTCCCTTGGACAAAAAACAAGGACACCAGCCAGGAATACTAGAGCAAAACAGTAGCCAGTAGTCTTGGTCTTTATTGAAGACTGCCGTGACAGGACTCCCACCTGCCACAAGGTGGAACAAGATGGAAGCCCCGAACAAAAGAGCCCCCAAACTTTTATTAGCTGCTAATCCCCATGTTACACCCCCCCAAACTACATCACTCATACATCACAGTTACATCATGAAAGGGGAGGTCTGGTGGCAGGAATCTGAGCATCCTGGACCCTGCCCCATGGTTCTCCTTGCCCTCCACCAAACACCCATCAAGTGTAACAAAAGATATATTTGCATTTCTCTGTTTCCCAGCCAAGTTAATCACACCCTTTTGTCTTCATCTGGGTTTGTTACTTCTGGAATGGCTACCTGTCTGGCACTCAGGTATCAGGATGCCAGGGATTATCACTCAGGCAGAGGGGCTGCTGAGCAGCTGAGCTCACATGTCTAGATGAATTTCTGAAGTTTTCCCAGTGAGCCAGTACATAGATAACATTTATCAATGAATTGTTACATTTGGTATCGTGCAGCAAAGGCCCTTTGAATAGATAGGAAAAAACTGTGATGAAATGTTTTGTGGGGACAAGTCACAAAAGCAATTGTGCTGATTTTGGTAGTGGGCTGCATGTGCATGATATCTGCTGGAGGGGCAACTCCCCCAACCTATGCATAAATTCTTGCAACAATCCCCCCTCCTTTCCCCTGTGGAAAAGCTGTGGCTGATCATCTGTTCTTTCATCTGGTCTTTGGGGAGAACCTTGCTCTGCGTGATGTACTGGGAGGTTGGCAGATAAGACCTACGCGAATCTAGTAACATTTGAAAGGGAGCAGGGCTTTATCTTTGAATGATGACGCTGCCTTCCTCCGCTTGTTCTTCCCCTCTCTTAAAGCTGTCGGATCCTAGTATGTGGAAAGAGCACAGGTGATGTTGGGAAGGGGGAGGCAGGAGGAAGTGGGAGGAGGAGGGTAGGGAATAATAATAATAGCTAAGTGGGGGCTGGAGCTGGCAGGAGGTCCAGACGGGAACTGATTTTCTTTCTCCAGGGCTATTTTCATTCAATGAGTTCGCCTCCCTCCTCTCTCCCTTTCCCCAGGCTCCTCCTGATAGGCTGAGGCCCCCATTTGAAGTGCCTCTCTCCTCTCCGATTGGCCAGCGGGGACAGCCCCGTCTGAAAGCGGTGGGCGGTCCCTTGCCTTGAAATAGGCTGCTCAGCGCTCAGCCCTCTCTGCCCAGCGCCAGCTCCTGCCTTTGTCTGCCGGGTGCTGTTTGTCTGAGGGACGACAGCACAGAAATCCCGGCTCTGGAGCAGCGACAGCAGCACTCGAGCTGTGCCAGGAGGGGTGGGAAAGACCTGCAGGGTCAAGGAAGCCTGCCGGGTCCCCAGCACTGATTTTGCCCTCTTTTCCTTCTCCGCAGCAAAGTGTCAGGCCAGCAGCGGACTCCTGTTGATCGAGAGCAGGGAGGCAAGCCGGAGCGGCGTTTTTCCAGGGCGGGTTGCCCTCTGTGGCATGTGACAACCCCTTCCCCGCCACGGGACACGGCAGCGGTCTAGAAGCATTGCGGTGAGTGCCATGCCGGTGGAGACCCTCCAAGCCAGCCACGCCATGAAAGGCGTCCCGGCCGCTGCCCCCTTCACCTCAGCCATGCCATTCCGAATCCTGAACAAGGGCCCGGAGTACTTCCGTCGGCCGGCGGCCGGCGCTGCTGCCAAGAAGCCCAGCGCGGTGGAGAGGCTGGAAGCGGACAAGGCCAAGTATGTCAAAAGCCAGCAGGTGGCCAGCACCAGACAGGAGCCGGTGAGGGCTCTGTTCCTCAAGCAGCCCCTCTTCACCCCAGGGGTGCGCCGGGTGATGCTCACCCCCAGCCGGAAGACCCCGCAAGGAGGACGCCGGGCGGAGGCGCGTGGGGCCGCCAAGACCTCCCTGAACCTGGAGATCCTCAACAACCTGATCAACTTCTGCGATAGCCCGTTGTCGTTCCCCAAGCCGGAGAAGAGCCCCGCAGAGCACAAGTGGGGGCCAGGGGGCCAGGGCTGGAGCCCCGGGAGCCTCCCGGATACCCCAAGGAAGAAGGGCCACCTGGCGGAAGGCATGAGCAAGCTGTCCCAAAGCTCGGCCTCCTCCAAGCCGCCCAGCACGGTCGCCGTGCGCAGGGTGGACGTCCGGCCGTGCGGGGCCTTGAGGGCGAGGGTCGTCCCCAGCATCCAGCTGACGCCGGTCCCCTCCTCCCCCGCGCAGGCCAAGATCCTGTCTGCTGGCCCCCTGAGCTCCCCCAGCCCCCGCGGTGAGCTGCGGACAGACAGCACCAGGCGCCAGACCTTGCTGCACCGCTCCAAATCGGATCTGAGCGACCGGTACTCCCGGGCGACGGCGGACCTTGAGCGCTTCTTCAACTACTGTGGCCTGGACCCGGAGGACATGGGGGATGTGGAGGTGGAGCGCTTCACCCGGGCCAGTTCGGACATTGTGTCCGTCAAGTTCCACAGCGTCAGCACGGCCAGCTCAGAGGGCACCCGCTCTCGCCGCAGCGCCGTCACCTTGGAGGAGAGGCAGGCCGAGCGCATTCCTTACGGCATCTCCATCATCGAGCGCAACGCCCGGGTCATCAAGTGGCTGTATGGACTACGGCAAGCCAGAGAGTCCCAAAAGGTATCCAATGTATAGCGGTACTTTGGCGGGCTCCAACAGGAAGCGAGGAAAACAAACAAACAAACTTTCCCCACCCCACCGTTTGTTTCAGTGTGTGTTTTTGATATTTACTGTTGGAGGGAAAATGTCGGCAACTGTTGCATGGGTTTTGTGCGTGTTCCTTTTGAGAAATGTCTGGTCTGCCTTGGGGCAGCGGGGTGGTTCTGATGAGGCATCCCATAATTTAAATCCCTTCAGAAAATCCACCTGGGGAAGAGAAGTATCTGGGCTCCTTCTGAATCTCCAAAAAGTCCAAAAGGAAGAGAGTTCATTAGAATGTCTTTTCCAGGAGTGAGAAGCCCAGAGCAAGCAGGTTGCTAAATTCTTGCCAAGTCCTGTAAGGGATGCATAAGGATGGAGCCCCCTGAATATGTGGGGATTGTTACAACAGGAGGAAGCAACCCATTGGAGGAGGGATCTGCAAACTTCCAGGTGTTGCTGGACTCCCATCCACACTGACCATTGGCCATGTTTGGTAGTGGTGGTGCTCTGGAAATGTGGGGGTCCATTACTGGTGGGTCCAGTTGAAGGGCCTTCACAGACAACTCTTAAGCCAGACATTGCTGTTTTAATTCCCAAGGTCTTGGTCGCACCCGTTTGTGTGCTAAGCCTTGGGAATCTGTGCAGCACAGAGCAGGCAGGGATAAGCTTTTGCAGAAGCAACAATGGGATTGTTAACAATGGAAATCTTAACGGCTGAGAGGGCTGTAAAAAAAAACCCACCGGGCCTATTGTGAGAGAGGCGGTAGAATGCAAGCTGTTTCTGCAGGCGCCCAGGAAATACCTGCTTGGGCCTGCAAGCCCAGGAAATAGCCAAGCACCCATTGACCTGTGGTGGCATTCTGCCCTGGAAGTTTCCCCCCCAAAGACCCAAACTGGGCAATTCAGTAGAGTCTGGTCCCAGGATGTCCAAAACAAAGGGAAGTGAATGATGGGATGCTGATAGCATCCTTGAGGATGTAGCAACTGCTTTTGCAACCTTTTGGTAATGTGGAGGTGTCTTCCGGGTTCAGGGGTCTGGGTTGTTAGCCAGGAAGGTGTGTGGACCTCTCTCCCCGAGCTTTAGGGAAAAACCCTTGTTTCCAACAGCTTGTGCTTGGGGGCATGTGGTGCTGAGTCTTCCATCAAACAACCGCCGCCCGTGATGCAACCATCCATGTCCATATCCTATTGTTTCTGATGCCAAGCAAGAGCTCTCGGCCGGGGTGGAGAACGTAGAATAAACTGGCTGTCATCAGCCAGCAGGTTTCCCAAAAACCCTGAGCCTAATTTTCCCCATCCTAAACCTTTGGGGAGGTGACTTGGGTCATACACGTCTTCTTAAAACCCCTTTTAAAGAAAGATAATTGAGAAATGTGTTTGATGATTAAAGCAGACCGTGGACCCCTCTGAATTGTTTGCAGAAAACAAAGGGTCCTTTTCTGTCCAGGCTCTCCTGGGAGAAAATTTTCTCTCCCAGTCACCAACTGAGCAATAAAGGGACATTGAAGGGGCATGGACTGAATCTCCTCATGTTTTGGGGACACTCGCTGTCCTGCCTGTTCCTTGAAGGATGCAGCTGGCTAACGCACAGCTCTTTTGACTGTGTTCCAATACTGCGAACCGTTTGCAGGTGTGCTTCCACCTGTCTGGTGTTTGCGCACCTATTCTCCTCCTTGAGCTCAAAGCAGATAATAGCTCTCCTCTGCTTCCACCACCTTTCCATAACTGGATGTTGTTTTACGTGTGATTATCTCACCTCTTCTCCAATATGAATGGGGGGCTGTGAACTCCCCTTTGGAGAGGTGAGCCGAAGAACGCACTGGGAAAGTGTTGGGATCCACAGTTTCTGGTAGGATGGTATTTGCCCCAGCACCCAATTGTCTTGAGTCTTGCTCAGCCATAGGATTTCCTGTTCGGAAGGGGAGTCAATTCTGGTGCTCATCACTTTGGCTAGACTGGGTCTCCTGTCTAATAAAGAATAGCTGTCCCGTCCCGTACAGGTGGCAAACAGGGAGCAGAAAAAGGCTGGAGGGAAACGGGTGAAGACATCCAGACTGAAAAATAAAACAAGCAATTCTTTCTGTCCAGGACCTGACGCAGAAGATAGCCACCAGTAGTGGATTTATACCAGGCAAACCTGCCGCTCTCCTGATGTTCCCAGGACTACAACCCCTATCATTCTTCCCCAGTAGCCATGCTGGCTGGAGCTGATGGGATTTGTAGTCCAGCAATACCTTGATAGCCACAGGCCCCTCGTCTCTGGTGGATACAGATCTGTAACAGTCCGGCAGGAACAGAATTTGGTCAGGATGTTTAGCAATGCAGCCACCCACCTCTAGTCACCTTCCCCAACTTTGGCTACGTTTTTATTGTGTGTGTGTGTGTGTGTGTGTGTTTGTGTATGAGTGCAACTCCTTCTCTTTGTATTTCGAAACTCTGAGCCTGTTTGCATTGAAGTTGCCTAAACTTGTTATTTATATAATGTTTCTTTGTATTTGTTCTTTCCAAGTTTGTATATTATTTTGTGCCCACGGTTGTGAAGTTTAGCTAGCAAGGGAAAGGCGGGGGAGAAAAACAAAAACAAAAACTCCTGTCAACTTATTTGTATTAAAGTCTTGTTCTTTAAAGAATGGCCTGCTTGCCTCCCTCTCTATCTCTTTCTCTCTTCCCGTCGGATAGACACACCCGGTTGAACGCATGTAACCTCAGCAGGAAAAGGGTATATTGGAACGGACTTGTCGGGGAAGGATGCTTTTGTGTTTAAAAATAAGCCCTCTTTGCAGAAGGGAGGGGGGCGGTTCTGGAGCCAGCCTGCACAGCTGGGATTGAAATCTGTACAGAAAATGGGTGAATGGATAGTATTTGGAGAGACGACAACTCTCTGATGCCACCTCTACTGAGGAAAAAAGCAAAAATCCTTTGGCCTCCTTCCCTACGTTATGGAGGGGTGCAAGCCTGACTGTTCACCTTTGTACATCCATCACGGCGAGCCTCTAGGCCTCCTGCTGTTGATATACTATGCTTCTTAAGAATGCAAGAAGAGATTGCAGGATCAGGTCAACGGCCCATCTAGTCCAGCATCCTGTTCTCACAGTGGCCAGCCAGAAACCCACAAGAGCCCCTCTCCTCTCCTGTAAAGGTAAAGGGGTAAAGGGACCCCTGACCATTAGGTCCAGTCGTGGCCGACTCTGGGGTTGCGGTGCTCATCTCACTTTATTGGCCGAGGGAGTCGGCGTACAGCTTCCGGGTCATGTGGCCAGCATGACTAAGCCGCTTCTGGCGAACCAGAGCAGCGCATGGAAACGCCGTTTACCTTCCCGCCAGAGTGGTACCTATTTATCTACTTGCACTTTGACGTGCTTTCGAAGTTCAGGCAGGCTTATATAGGTAATAATAATAATAATAATAACAATTTATTATATATACCCTGACCATCTGGCTGGGTTTCCCCAGCCACTCTGGGCGGCTTCCAACAGAATATTAAAATACAATAACCTATTCAACATTAAAAGCTTCTCTAAACAGGGAAGGTGATCCTCCAGATAACCAGGTCTCAAAAATCATCCAGGGATTTAAAAGTTAAAACCAGCACCATATTGGGGGGGGGGTTGCTATTAAGAAAACACAAAACAATTTGAAAACCTATTCCCCACATGGTTTGACCAATGCCAGCAGACATTTGCCTTACCTTTCTGCTACTCACTTGCATTTTTTTAAAACATCTAGCCTGCTGAAGAAGACTTCTGTGGAACTCCAAAGCTGGCATACTATTTCATGACTTGTTGGTTGGCCGAATTAAGTGCCTTGTTGTTCTTTGCTATCTCTCTGTGTGATCCAGTGAAAGTTAAAGAATGAAATGATAGGTAAAGGGTAAAGGGACCCTTGACCATTAGGTCCAGTCATGGCCGACTCTGGGGTTGCAGCGCTCATCTCGCTTTATTGGCCGAGGGAGCCGGCGTACAGCTTCCGGGTCATGTGGCCAGCATGACTAAGCCGCTTCTGGTGAACCAGAGCAGCACACGGAAACGCCGTTTACCTTCCCGCCGGAGCGGTACCTATTTATCTACTTGCACTTTTGACGTGCTTTCGAACTGCTAGGTTGGAAGGAGCAGGGACCGAGCAACGGGAGCTCACCCCGTCGCGGGGATTCGAACCGCCGACCTTCTGATCGGCAAGTCCTAGGCTTTGTGGTTTAACCCACAGTGCCACCCGCGTCCCTGTGGACCACGTCCCTGTGAAATGATAAACTCCCCCCAAATCCAGGACAGGACACATAGTGAGGCAAGGAAAAAGGGATGTCTCCTTTGTTCATACAGTCCTTTAGCTGTGATTCTTCCATACAGGGGGTTGGACTAGATGGCCCATTAGGGTCCCTTCTGACTACAGTTCTGTGGTTCGGTTGGGAAATGCTTCTGTCCCAAGAGCTGAGCTTATAGGGGAGACCAAAATACGCCTCGTACGAAATCTGCTAAGTGCGCATTAAAAACAGCAAAGCCTGTTTTGCCCTCTGCCTAATCCCTTCTGTGCCAGCCTGCCGCCGTGCCCCCGTTTGAAATTTCAGCCGTGGGCCTCTGGCAGAAACCCGCTTTTGGGGAAAGAGAAAGGTTTTCCCTGGCTCACGGTTGCTCGAGAGGCATTAGCGGGAAAGGTCAGGCTGTGAGAAGCGGCCCTTATGATCTCATTTCTGAGAATGGACCCGGAGGGAGCACAGAGAGGGAGGGAAAGAGAGAGGTGAGGGAAAAAACTCCACCACTGGACAATTTGAGATCAGGAGTGGTGGCCAGAGGGCCTGCAGAAATTGATCTGCACCTCCAAAACTGATAGGGGCTGCAGTGTCCATAGGGGTGGCGGCAGAACTCCCCAAATTCCCAGCTTTCGTTTAAAAACAAAGAATAAAACACAGCCAGGGTTGTGGAGTGTTTTTGCAGCATTTCTCAAACTTGGGTCTCCAGCGACTGTTGGACTACAACTCCCATCATCCATAACCACAGGCCATGCTAGCTAGGGGTGATGGGAGTTGTAGTCCGGCAACAGCTGGAGACCCAGGTTGGGGGAAAAACCACTGGATTAGAGTGTCTGATTAGGACCTGGGAGACTAGAGTTCACTTCCCCACACGGCCATGAAGCTGATGGGAGTTGTAGTCCAAAACATCTCCAAGGTGCTCAAGGTGGCAGGCGTGGTTCTCCTCCTACCCATTTTATACTTACAGTGAGGGAGGTGAGGCTTAGAGTGAGCAGCTGGCCAACGGCCGACCAATGAGCTTCATAGCTAAACTGGGATTAAAAAAAAATATATTGACACTTATTCAAAAATGTACAAAAGTTGATGCTCATTGCAAAACATATTTTTATATTACACCACTTAATCTAGTTAAGAACAAAGGAAAAACGGAAAAAAGGAGAGACCGAAAGACAGAGAAAACAAAAGAAGAGGCGGAGAGAGAGATTAAAGGACTTCCGGTTCTCTGTCCTGCAGCTAAATATAGTATCCAACTCATTAAAACCCAACCACTCTATCTCCTGTGAACCAGTATTTTCTCAATCTTCAAATACCAAAATTGCAGGTTTTCTCGTTCATGAAAAAAGCCCATGGGAAGTTTCCCATCCTGAATAAATGTCAATAATGATTTTTCTCTATTTAAGCATGTTCACTTTGCCATCTCAACCGAGTCCAATAGCTTTCCATCAGCTGTTCCTCTATAATGGGTATCTTTCCACCATGGCTCAGTTGGGATTTGAACCCCCAGCCCAATCTTCTAAGCACTACACCGCACTAGCTTTCAGAGGAGCGCTTGCAGAGACTTGGCTTGTGAGTCAGAGCCGCGTGGGAGCTCCGCAACGCAGCTTAGCAGCCTCCCAAGACCTCGCCCTGCGTTGTAACCCAGCCCTGAAATTTTGCTCTTCTCCTCTGCCCCTGCCTGGGCCAGCGATCTGCGTCCCCTGAGCTCCTCCGTAAAGGTTGGCTGTGCTCGCTGACCACTTGCCAAGTATGACTTGGCCGTGGTTGCAAAGGCAGCCGAGGGAAATCCTGTATTAATGCACTCAGGGCGTATTTGGAGCTAGAGACACATTAGCGCTTCCTGCAGCCTCGCTTTCCCTCTCCCCCCTCCATCCTCAGAGAAGTGCTGCACAAGTCCCATCTATGCAACAGCTGGCCAGGAAGCGATACACACACACACACACACAATGTGATTTCATTGAGTCCATTGCCTGCCAGTCTCTTACCAAGCCAAATCTGAGGTGTTCGTACGAACATACAGCTCGGGCAGCTGGGTTACTTGAGAGACCACCTTGTTCCTTAAATGTAATTAATCAGTCCATCAATTACGTCCCAGATGGGGGCTCGAGGCAGCTTGAACAAAGTAAAAGCACCCCGATAAAAATACAAAAAAAAGCTAACGGCGTATAAAAGGGAAGGGTTTACCCCAGAGTGTAAAATCCCAGAGTGGCTGGGGCAACCCAGTCAGATGGGAGGGGTACAAATTACTACTACTACTACTACTACTACTACTAGTACTAATAATAATAATATTGGATCAGAACAATGTAAAAAAAACAAATCTATTAAACTACAGAGAGTAAAACAGCATTATTTGAAGCCCTTTCCTGAAAAAAAAAGAGTTCCCAAAGGTCCATTGGTGGAAGGAAAATGAGGGAGCCAGTTTGGCTTCTCCAGGGAGGGAGTCCCAGAGTCTGGGAGCAGCCACCAAGAAGGCCCTATTCTGCATCCTCACCAAGTGTGCCAGTGGTGGGACCGAGAGAAGGGTCTCCCCTGAAGATCTCAGAGCCCAGTTTGTATATACCCAGGACTAACTGCGTTCTGCAGAAGATGGCCTCCTAAACTCACTGGATGTTAACTTGGAGCCGGGCTTTTAGGGAGGTTGTCCTGGTACTATGGAATACCATCCCTGTGAGATATGACAGGACAGGCACCTATCAATCAATCAATCAATCAATCAATCTTTATTATGGTCCAGAGACCGAACAAATAGTTACAAAGCAATGCACAATTCAGACAGCCTACCTCCAGGTTAAACAAGCATTTTGTTCAGACTTAAAGATAGGGATCATTGGTTCTTGCAACCACTGATACCGGTCTTCCAATAGGAACCTGACATAGTGAGCCTCTGATTTTCCCGTATTTATCTGCATTCTGGAAATAACTGAAGACACATTTGTTTCAACAAGCTTTTCCAGTTTTTTTGTCCCTGTTCTTAAACCTATCCCCACCTGTTTTTTGTACCGTTTTTGAAACCATTTCTCCCCTCCTCCCCAAAATCAGAGGAACAGTGCCTGTACATTTTGATTGATTGATTGATTGATTGATTGGATTTCCCTCCCACCCTTGTCTCCAAGGACCTCAGTGTGATGTACATGGTTCTCTCCCTCCATTTAATCGAAACAACAACCCTGTGAGGTAGGCTAGGTGGAGAGGCAGTGACTGGCCCCAGGTCAGTTGGTGAGCGTCATGGCCGAGTGGGGATTCGAACCCCGGTCTCCCAGGTCCTAGCCTAACACGCTGACCACTACACCACACTTCCCCTCTCCTCCAACACACTGAAGAGGGAAGCTGGCAGTTGACACCACCAGCCCCTGGACTGAGAGGCAGGCGAGGTTGGTTGAGAGCAGGCTGAGATTGACAGGCCAGCGCTCCACTTGCCCTGATGGGACCCTCCTTCACTTGCTAGAAATTATAATGAACACAAAGCAAGGTTTTGCTCCATCTTTTCTGGAGGGCAAATCCCAGATCTCTCCCAATCCTTTCTTTACTTTCATAAACTCAGGAATCAAGACATGGATGGAAGAGGGAAATCTATGCACCCCAATGAGGCAACTCCAATAATAATAATAATAATAATAATAATAATAATAAAAATTATACCACGCCCATCTGACTGGGTTTCCCCAGCCACTCTGGGCGGCTTCCAACAAAATATTAAAATACAATAGTCTATTAAAAATTAAAAGCTTCCCTAAACAGGGCTGCCTTCAGATGTCTTCTAAAAGTCTGGTAGTTGTTTTTCTCTTTGACATCTGATGGGAGGGCGTTCCACAGGGCGGGTGCCACTACCGAGAAGGCCCTCTGCCTGGTTCCCTGTAGCTTTGCTTCTCACAGCGAGGGAACCGCCAGAAGGCCCTCGGAGCTGGAGCTCAGTGTCTGGGCTGAACAATGGGGGTGGAGACGCTCCTTCAGGTATACTGGGCCGAGGCCGTTTAGGGCTTTCAAAGTCAGCACCAACACTTTGAATTGTGCTCTTTGAATTGTACTTAGGATTGATCCCCAATATTTGCAGCCGAAGTTGACTCAGAGAATGCGTTGGGCTGGGAGGGGAGGTTTGAATGAGGCTCGCTGCTCTTTGCTCCTGTTGGCAGCGAGCCAGAATGGGCAGGCCAGGAACAGGAGGCAAGTTCGGGCCGTGAGCTTCAAGACAGCAAAGCAAGCTGCAACGGAGTCATTGCCCTGCAACTGATCCACATCAGGTGATCAGCTGCCTCTGTCCTCGGCATCCTTAGCAATAATGAGCTCTGCCCGCTCCAGTTGCCCAGCAGAATGGTGCCAGCAGGGAGCTTTGGGAACCAAGGGCCGGGCCTCCTCATAAGGGCCGGTTCCCCCTCCCCTCTCTCCATCACTTGCTGCTAGGACTGCAAGGAGGCAACATTCGCTGCAACCAGAGCTGTTTCCCTGCCGCTGGAGTTTCGGAATCTGCTAAAACCTTCATTGTTTGTCCCCCTATCCCCTATCACGTACTTACCCCTCAAGTGTCAATTTAACCAGGATTGGTACTGGTCCCAATCCCAGATGACCTGCTTTGGCTCGCATGCTCTGGCCGTGCCAGAGTATGGTTCCAAAAGACGGGTGTTGGCTCACACCAGAGCGCAGGACCAAAGAGCGGAAGGAAGACGTACCTTGGCCCTGCACATCACCGCTCCTCTTTCCCGCTGTGTCGCGGCACTTCTGGATGAAAGTACTGTATTTTTCTGTGTATAAGACTATATTTCCCCCCAAATTTTTGAAGTTTGAAATTGGGGGTCGTCGTCTCCATCCCCACCTTGCCCCGCTGTGTACTAGTTGTGGCTACATCCTTATCCCCATTGTCCTGCCACGTCATGACAGGTAAGCACCTGGAACCCCTGGAATCCTGCAATGCTCGGAGATTGGGGTGCCATGCAACAATATGTTTTTACCTTCTCTCCTGGGCTGAGAACGCCTAGAGTAGAGTGGCTGGTCTACCAGTATGGTGGCATACTCCTGGTCTAGGCGCAAGCTACGTATTGCACTGCTCTCTTAAGCATCTTGCCTTCATGGTATATTATGTTGTACAGTGGTACCTCTGTACAACATGTAAGGTTCAGGAAAAGGGCAGCCCAAGCGTTTCATTCATTCATTCATGGCTTTTAAAAAGGCAAAGGACCCCTGACAGTTAAGTCCAGTTGCAAATGACTCTGGGGTTGCGGCGCTCATCTCGCTTTACTGGCCGAGGGAGCCAACGTTTGTCCACAGACAGTTTTTTCCAGGTCATGTGGCCAGCATGACTAAGCCGCTTCTGGGGAAACCAGAGCAGCACAAGGAAACACCCATTACCTTCCCGCCGGAGCGGTACCTATTTATCTGCTTGCACTTTTTGGCATGCTTTCGAACTGCCAGGTTGGCAGGAGCAGGGACAGAGCAATAGAGCTCACCCCATTGCGCGGATTCGAACCTCCAACCTTTCGATCGGCAAGTCCTAGGCTCTATGGTTTAACCCACAGCGCCACCCGCATCCCTTTTCATGGCTTTTACATCCCACCTTTTCCTACCAAAGAGCTCAAAGTGGTATACATCATTCTCCACCTCCCCGTTTTATTGTCACAATGACAACCCTGTGAGGTAGGTTAGACTGAGAGTGAGTGACGGGCCCCCTAGGACACCAAGCTGGGGTAGTGAACTGATGTGGCGAAGGCAGGCTGAAGTATTTCTTTATACAAAATTGCCTGACATCAAGTCTTAATCTGTCCACCTTCCTTAGCAGTGGGGAATCTCTCTCAGATGCAAGGACCACATTCGTTTTAAAGGGAATTTCCAGGGGCTTCATGCCAGCGGAAGGCTAGAGGAAAGAGCAGGCAAAGCAAAAAATGTGTTTTGTGCCATGACATCACACACCTCTTTCCTCTGTCCAGGCAAGCCAGAGGCATTCTCAGAGTTCCAGGATGCAACAATGGGGACTAGTCGCTTGATGTTTCTGTTTGATCCCTTCTCTCTTTTTTTGTATAATTTTTTTATTAGTTTTTCAACATATCATTTCCAGCAATAATTAAACATACTTTTACATCTTATACAATTTTTTTTTTACTTCCATCAATCACATTGAAAATTTTCCAATCTAATTACTTAATTTACATTTCTTATTTTCACTATTACATTTAAATCTCATAACTAATATCTCTCTTCTTTCTCTTCTTTGCAATATTTCATATATTTCTCCTTAAAAAACTAGCGTAATTTGTTGATTACAGTTGCTCTTCAAATAATTAATATATTTCTTCCAAGATTCTGTAAATCTCTGGTCCCGCAGGCTTCGAATCCTTCCTGTCATTTTATCCAATTCTGCGTAGTCCATTAATTTTGTCCTGTTTGATCCCTTCTCTGTCGTCAAGACTGTCCAGGAATTCAGAGTCATCTTCCCAGTAACATAGCTATAGGGTGGAAACATGGTGTCACTGGCAAAGTGAGAAGGCTGTCAGATATCCTAAGAATGTTTATCCTTCATCCAGCTCCTTCTAGGACAATGTTTACAGATGACTTTGTTCTTTCAAAGCGCTGATTGCACGAGGCCACATCATAAACCCAAACAACGTAATTAGCCTTCCTGGCACGCGGCAAGAAGACGTCCAGAAACCACGTCATGCGACCAGTTCAAAACATGTTGCGTTGGGAAGAATGAGCTCTTGCCTCTGGCCATGGGGAGGAAAGGGTGTTGAAGTCTGCCCATCACTCTCCCTTTCCCTTTGAAGTCTCCTCTTAACTGTAACTTGGGGACTTTAAAAACAGGTTCTCCTTCCTTCCTGTGATCACTTAAGAGCTCCTGAGGAGGCGGGAAGAGGAGCCTGTGAGTTCTGCGAAGCTGAGATCAGAGATACCCATTGCAAAACCCAGCCGGTCTGGGTGCAAAGTCCTTCTACAGCAGGGGATTGCAGGATCGTATCATGTAACCCTCACCCACCCGTAGAGCTGATAGCAGTTTGATGTGTGTCTCTGCGTGAATTTGGTTGAGCAAATGAGATGGAAGGAAAGGGTTAAACACACACACACACACACACACACACACACACACACACACCCCAATGTCACAATCCCCACAATATACAGAGAGGAGTTTTTGAGTTTTTAAACAAACAAACAAAAAACACCGGTCAAAGCAATCATGGGTCTTGCACTTTTTATATCCTCCAAATTCAGGGAGGACAGGAGTAAGAGAAAGATATATATAAATCTGTTAATTTTTGTTTCTCTCTCTTTTAATTTCCAATCCTAACACCATTTTCTTCAATCTTAAATTCAGCCTTGAACTATTTTCTGCATGAGTTTGGTTTTTTTTTAAAGAAGTTCTCAGAAAAAGTAACCTGCATTTTATTCTCTTAACAAACAACCGGAACTGAACAGAGCTCAGTTCTGGCACGTCTCAGGTAGGGGCCATTGCTATTCTAAGAAAACAAGGGAAGCATTAATAGTGAACTCCAGCATCTCTTTTTCTAGAAAAATAGCGCTGAGAATAGCTCTTCTGGATCAGGCCAGTGGCTCATCTCATCCAGAATCCTCTTCTCACAGTGGCCAACCAAAAGCCTGTGAGAAACCTACCTATTTGTGTGTGGTTTTGCCCAATAAATTTTCTCCCGCTTGGACTACTGCAATGCGCTCTATGTGGGGCTACCTTTGAAGGTGACCCAGAAACTACAACTAATCCAGAACGTGGCAGCTAGACTGGTGACTGGGAGTGGCCGCTAAGACCATATAAAACCGGTCCTGAAAGACCTACATTGGCTCCCAGTATGTTTCCGAGCACAATTCAAAGTGTTGGTGCTGACCTTGAAAGCCCTAAACAGCCTCGGTCCAGTATACCTGAAGGAGCGTCTCCACCCCCATCATTCACTAAGGTCCAGCTCCAAGGGCCTTCTGGCAGTTCCCTCGCTGTGAGAAGTGAAGCTACAGGAAACCAGGCAGAGGGCCTTCTCAGTAGTGGCACCTGCCCTGTGGAACGCCCTCCCATCAGATGTCAAGGAAATAAACACCTATCTGACTTTTAGAAGACATCTGAAGGCAGCCCTTTTTAGGGACTTTTTAAATATTTGATATTTTGTCACATTATTATTATTCTGTTGGGACCCACCAAGAGTGGCTGATGAAACCCAGCCAGATAGGTGGGGTATAAATAATGAATTATTATTATTATTATTATTATTATTACTACTACTACTACTACTACTACTACTATTGGATGGAGGGGCTGTCAGCATTAACACCCCGACAAATCTCGCTTCTCCATTAGATCCAGCACAGAGCAAA